TTATACTTTATATTGTTAATACGTTTCTCTTTATAATTATCTTTAAAATAATTAGGCTTTTTATAATAAAGATAGAGGCTAAAACCAATACATTACTTTCAAATATAATAAGATTAAAAACATTAATTTTAATAAATAATATTTAATTATATAAAATTATTAAAAAATCAAATATAAAAGGAATAGCAATAGCAGTCTACTTTTTATTATAAGGTTTTGATTAATCATAATTGAAATTCAATTAATTATAATTAAAATTAATATTTTAATTCTTTTATTAATTATCAAAATAAATCTTTTTCTCTAAATTATTATAAATACTCTATTATCAAATTGTTTATATATTAATATCAGTAGTAAAGAATTTGCTAAAATAATTGACCAAAGTATTAATCAATTTTTAGAAAATCTTAAATTTGAAATCAATAATTTATTATTTTATGATTTTTTTATATTTAATAATAAACTATTTGAATTTAATAATGAAATTATTAAATAAAATCTTCTTTATTTTATATTTATTATAATCCATAATAGTTTTATAGAAGAAATCGAGGATTTAATATTATTTATTTAGTTTATATCAAATACTTATTATAGTACGCTATTTAAAAGATTAAAAATCGAAATCATACAGATTATCAATAATTATATCAAAATATATCTAATTATTTATATAAACAAAATTAGAAAGCAAATTAACAAGGAATATAATCTTTTGGAATTCCGATTTATTTTTGTAATCTATAATTAAATAATAATTAATTATACTATAAAATGTTATATATTAATTTTGATATTTTATAATATCTTATTCATCACTACTAAATTTTTTAGAAATAATAAAATATTTTCAACAAAACAAGACTTACAGATTATTACAAATAGTAATCTTTAATATTTCAATTGTATTTTTCAATTCAATAATTTTAAATTAAGTATTAGCAATTTAAATTTACACATCAATAATTTAAGTTTATAATAAATTTGTAATCAATTTGATTGATTTGAATACAACTTGAGTAACTATAAAATATACAATATTCAAATTATTAAACAAATCTATAAACAAAAAAACATTAGTTTCAACAAAATTAAGAATATAATTTAAGAAATAGAATTATAAAAATAAATCAAATACAAATACTAGATTAATCATTTTTGAATACTCTTATAATTATAAAATAATTTTATAGAATTTCTAGATAATAATGGCTAGAGTATACAACGAATTAATAATAGATACAATTAATACAATTAAAATAAACTTTGATGGAATTTAATTAAAATAAAATTATAATAGTTTTTATATAGATAATATAAATTATTAAGGTATAGATAAAGATTTATATTATATTATAAGAGTAAAAGAATTATGGAAAAAAGGGATCCTATTTATAAGAAGTAAGGTGCGCTAATTGTGGGAGCCTTAGGCACGAAGGCAACTAACGAACAGGTAGTTGGCGCCGTGACATACACAGACGAATTTTGTATGTAAAAATGATGGCCCACTTGATGATATGGTCCACTCAATGATAAATCACGTTAGATTTATTTTGAATTAGAGTTTATAATTATATGTAAATTTAAATAAAGCTATCCCCACATTCATTTATTTAGTTATTCAAATAATAGTAATATACTAAAAATTCGAATTACTTTATTTAATCTATATATATATTATATATATATTCTATTTTTTTTTATTTTAATAAATTGTTTAATAGATTTGATATACAAACTATAAAACCACAAATCAATAATTCATTCTTTTTGAAACGGATTGCTGCCACTACGGAATCCGTAGTAGTATAAAGAGCGGATTATTTCAGTGGATTCAGCGCGGATTTTGCAATCAAACGAGCCCTAAGGTCCTATAGAGTGATGATGTTCGATTTCCTGGGATGTGACTAGAGTTAGATCTCGCAAGCTTCACTTTTTCGACATAGAGAAGCAGCGCATCGGTATCGCATCCTTCCAGTTTACACGACAGTGTTATCAACTTTCATAAGACCAATTTCACACTTGAAGCCTACTTCGATGAAACATGCAAAATGACCTGCAGTCATTAGAGGTCTCACAGGAGCAGCGCGGAAAGAGTACATGAAGTACACATTCTCAGCCCTGATATTGGGAGACTGTGAGGTGTCAAAATCAAAGTTCTCCAAGTATCTGAACTGAAGATGGACAATTAGCTTAGCTCAATAAATCTCGACGAAATGGAGAATCATAAACGGTGTGGCTTATGGTTGGAGTGCCAGAATGAAAACCTCGTAGGAAATAGCAAGCACATCCATAGTAATAATCCATCTTCACGACTATCTTGTGTATTTGTCTTATTCATTTCTTAGAATCGTGCTAAAGACACTCTTAGTGAATCTGAGAAGCAAGAATACATTAAACACTTGGCATGATCTCTGGGAATAGAGGAATTAGATGAGGTGCATTGATGTCCAAGTTCCGCATACAGTTCTTATGACGTGATCAAGGATCCCTTGGGAGTTTTCTAAAAATCTGCGTATCAATTTAGTGGTTGTTATTCCAGACCGACTGATCGCTGATCTCCGAGTGAGTATAATTGAACCAAGAATCTATTAACTATACCAATGCAGATTTCTAAGACATGTTTCGCTTCCATCTTGCGAGCCTTGACCGTGAAAGCATTCGAAATCTCGCAGAGTGTGCTCTTACTGATCACTTACAAGCAATGATCAGATCTCAATCAGCTGCAATCAGACCTGTATGGTGAACTCTGTATCGTGCTATCGTATTTCGTAAACGGCCTACGTTTTTATTCGTTATTAATATGACCACCAGTGGGTGCATGATTAACAGAACACTTGTCAATTTTCAATATTTTTTATAAATTTATTCTTTAATTGTTTGATATCACAATATGTATTTTGATTGTTTTATCTCTTTTCAAGAATTAAAATTATTCTTGAAATATATAATTCGATATATCAAAAGATATTCACAAGTTTATTTTTGTACTATTCTGTGAGTTCGTATACCCAATGGTAGCCCCCACAACTGTAGCCGTCGCTTGATCCCAAAAAGAGAGAGGGTCAGAAGATCCACAATTAAGTCGCAACTAAAAGTAAGTAACAACACAACTTCGCAAGAACAGCCGAATTTGAAAAAGAAAAAAGAAAAAAAATGTAGTGGTAATGTCTGCTATCTGTTGCGAGCAAAAAAATTTAGTTATCTGAGCAACTCGTTACTGAGTGGTGCGTTCGGAACTGGTAAGGAACCTATTAATCCGGACGGTTAAGCCACTGCCGACTCAATTGAGATGCTTTGATACAGGAACCGACTTTGTTCTAGGATAAGTAACAGACAACATAAAATTGTGCCACATACATTTCTCCCAAAAAGAACTTGATAAAAAACATTGCGCGCGAGTATGTTGGGCACCCACCACCCGTAAGTTTAAAACTAAGCAACACAAATTTACAAACGTCATTCACGACGAACAAAGTTTCACCAAAGCCATGTCGCACATTCAGAATCAAAAAAGTCTTATTGTGGCGGGAATGGATAATCTTGAAATCAATTTTCAAGTTGGTTTGAGATCTACCGTCGAAAACAAGGCTGGCAACTCCACCATGGAACGCTTTCCGATGAGCACCTCAACAACTGGTAAATCAACACTCATCAAAACTTGCAAACCATCAAGATTTCTATGCTAACTGAAGTCTCAAGTGTCTCATTCTCATCCCGCTCCAACTGTCACTCCACGAACTAATGTTTAGATGGTGCGAGACAGTAATCAAGCCGAAGTTCGAAAGGCATCACCTACAAAAATGCCCAAGAAGACGTTCGGCTTCACGAGATCGGCAAGAAAAGCTCGACTCCGATGGAAGGCGGAAGAGAGAAAACAGATCGCTTTGGGAGTCCATCACAAAGATGAAATCCCAAAAGTTGTCGACGCTGCCAGAAAAGAAGCAAAGCGCCAATATAGAGAGGAAATGAAAGCGCGTAGAGCGTTAAAACGGGAGTCTGAAACGATTAAATCACAGAGCAAGATTCAGACAATTGGAATTGCGGATACTTCTAGCGATGTCGATGGTGGCTTCAGGGCTGGGTAACTATTGCTTTCATCCCACAGCAGAGACCATGCAATTTACTGATGCGTTTCAAAGTGACGCAGCACAATTGCCTCCACAGGCGGCAAATATTGAATCAAACGAGGGGATGAATGCAGATATGGATATGGATATGAGTACCAGATAGAGAAGCCATCGCACCAGGCGTAGACGGGTGGCCTTGAATGATGGTCAGGAGATCCATGGGTGAGAATGAGGAGAGTGTCTCAACTCAGAGCTCATGAATGGTGCTGTTCCTTGATTGAGTACTCAATTACACGGTGGAAGCTTCTCGAATTTTGCGGGAATTCTGATTGAATAAGGAGTCATACAAATTTGAGTGCCTTCTGTGTACCTATGCTCATTCTCGGGTGTATTAAAACGAAGTTTTCAGTCTCTACGTTCTCAGAATGAAAAAGTCAATCACGTAAAACCAATGCATCAACTTCGCCCTAGAATCAGAGATAACATTGATATCGAGGGTATCCTGTTGCATTTTACTCATGTTGATAAGGAAGTGAGGTCAAGTTAAAGTTGACAGTCTAGGTAGGTTAGTCATAATTAAGTGGGACTCTTAGCAAGCCACCATATGCATCTATTAGCTTTAGTGCAACCTCCTTTCTTAAGACCTTTATCTCAATGAAGATATTATTCATTCATCACTCACTACACGGCTCTAAATAAATCTGAGTACATAAATATTGAGAGTGCTTCTATCAAAAACTCTATTTGAGAAGCTTACTTTGCAAACTAACCCCCCCCCTCCCCTCCTCCCTTCCCTCGCTATTTCCCTCACTTAGTCTGACAGAAAAGCTTTGCTTGTCTTACTCCTACAATTTCCATCAATGACGTTAATCGCACAACCGGAACGGAGGTCCAGAATACGGTGTCAAGATTGAAATCAGAATCAGCCTAGATATCTTTCGCCGCAGGAGTAGCCTTCACAAACATGTGGAAATAGTTGGCGAGAGCTAAATCTCGCTCATCCCAATCTTGCCACAGGGTACGATCCAGTTGACACCGCTCAATGAACATCACCATGGGCGTCCAGCGATCATCTTCACTCCATGATAGCATATTTTCCACCACATTTCCAGGCACACTGAAGTATTCCAGGACTTCATCCCAAACCAACATAGGTTTCCCGTTGCGAACCTTCCCAACAACTTTCGACATCTCTCCAGAATTAAAGACTCCCATGTGCAAGTCCTGCAGCAGTCGGCCAATCAGTCCTGAGCCTTTCATCGCTGAGCCTATGTGCACATGAAGAAAGTAACCGTATGTTTCATTGAGGCTGATATACGCGTCGATCGGCATGTATCGAGGAACTTGGCCGGTGAAGTTCGATCGGGTTGCTTCAATTAACGTCTGGAGAGTGGAGGTCTGATTTGGTTATTGGTTGAGCTTCTGTTGAGCGGGACATGGTCGTGTTGACTTCTTTTGTCTCTGCGCAGTTGAGTTTGGTTTAATTGGATTCTCCGATTTACGCAGAGTAGCAGCTGGTAGGTTCGCCTTTTTTAACTTCTGCAAATTTAACTTTGACGGAGCTGCTTGAACAGAATTTTTTATTGTAGAAGCTTGTGGGGATTCTATCTCCAAGTTCTTTGAAACGGAAGACAATGGGCCTGTGTTCAACTTCTGCGACTTGGGTGTTGATTGCATTTTCTTCTTCAAAGTCTTCGGAGCACCAATTTGATCTTCTGCGGTCAAGTCAATGATCTCAGCTTGTCTGTAGTTTTTTCCATCAAACATCTTTGCATGGTTCATTGTTTCGGATGTTTTCTCCAAGGAAATGCTAGAGTTTGTGAATCCTGGGATAGGAAGCCGGCGCATATATGAAATCAACTCGTTACGCACAGCTTTATCATTTATCTCAGTGCATCCAAGGTATATTGCCAGTACCTTGATACCTATCAATTCGAGGTCCCAGTGTTTTTCCATAAGACCCATCTTAGAATCGAGAGGTAGAGGTTTCCCATCCAAGAAGCGTACCAGGCAATCAATCATTGTCCAAAGCGTTCCAACGTTCCATTTCGCAATTTTTTCGTGTTCCCGTCCTCTATTCTTGAAGCTCGACTGGATTAGATTATAGATATAGACTATTTTTCCCGGGATCCTGGGCAATGCGGCCCTTTCCGTTTTCGTGTGCTCTGGATCATAACAAATTTGATCTTTGTCGTCTTTCAATGTCCCATTGAGTTTTGAGTCAAATAGTACCCGAATCAAAGGTAACTTCTCGAAAACGATGGCTTCCGATGCTTTGGTCATGCGAATCTCTTCCTGATTATTCTTTAGGAATGTTGATTGGAAGGTGATTAGTTCCTGGGGTTGACGGTCTTTGTCCAGGGTACTTAGACAATGAAAACTGTTAGTCTTGATGAATTGAAGTCTGGCAGTTGATGGCTCACGTCCCAGTCTTTAATGAGCGGTGGAATCTTGTTGAGCTACGAACAGAAAGGCGCAACTCACCCAAAATTGACAGTAGGTCTTTTGATTTCCAAAGAGAACTCCATGATTACTAGGAGCTAAGGCGTCGTGTTACAATTTTCTCAGCGTGAATAAATGAACGTGTTAATGTTGGAACTTATTAGAAATTCGAGGTGCCGTTTGACGTGAGAACAGCTTCAAGCCTGTTCGATACGAATGTGAGTCACATGATCTGTAAATTATGCTGTAGTTGAACACGTGGGTACTGTAGTGCCTAGCATACGGCTCGGTTATGTAGGTAGACTTAGCTTCAGGCTTCAAATCATGCATCTAGAATAGAAATCTCCGAAATTGCTCTGAGATGATTTCAAGGTGCTCCGAGATACTTAAGCCCGTCTCATACGCTAGGTAGGAGGGATAAATATATGGGCACATTAATTTCTTATTCAACCCTAGTCAGAAATAGAAAAATAATCACAAGAGCATCAACTCAAAGAACAACGAACATGTAATCACACTATAAGGTTAACAAGTTCTACACTGAGGTTGTTGAAAATTGATTCATAGGTCAATCTACTACTAATTATTCCTATCTCTCCTTCTACCCTACATTTGTCTGTCGCAAGTCAAGGTTACATACAATACACTGCTAGCACCATAACACGAAGATGTTACAAACTATGATCGCCTTCTCACCGGTGCTCAATAACAGTTCCACCCGGTCGTCATTTGTATCACTGACCCACACTATTTGCCAAACCTCAATGGATCATTGGGCCCACGCTTATTCTTGTAATATCCAGAGCCTTTAAAACCATGGGTAGTCTTTCGTGTTTTGTTGTTCGGATCATCGCTCTTCATCTTCGTGCCCCAGGAAACATGGAAGCGTCTGAGGATTTTGTAATCTGCCCCCAGCCATTTACCCACTGCCCAAACTAAATCTTCCTTTAGTGCCATTTCTTCTCTGGTACGCTGAGGTGGATCCCCTGCCCCGTTGCGCTCCGTAAAAAGCAGCCAGAATTGGACCGCTAGCCATAATACATCTTGGCCCGTTTTCCCCTGAATCCAAGGGTCTAATTCCTTCCATCCATCCCAGCTTTCACCAAAGTCGGAAATAACCTCATCATAATACAAAATTGGAAATTTGCTGTATAGTTTCTTGATGTCACTTTGTATCGGATCCCACACATGGCCATCGCTTACTGGAATTCCAGAATCATCTACACTTTCCCCGGAGCCCGTTTGCCGAGCATTGAGGAAGTAGTGGAGACGAGGTGCACTACTAAGAAGATTTGTCTTGAAACATCTTATGTATTCCGGTGTGTAAGTCTTGCCCCAGTTCTCAATTGATAGCTCCTCCTGTTGATCGGTTGGGAAATCTGTTTTCAGTATGACAACAAAGTTAAGACCCTCGATCGCTCCTATTGGTGGAGGCAATTCTAATTTAACTACGGCGTTTTTAATGACAGACAGAGACTCATCTGTCTGTGACTCACTGGATGAGGCACTGTTAGCAAATAGTGTTAGCAAAGCAATACGAATAATGATCTAGCTCATGGGTAGCACGGCACTCACGAGATAGCTTTAGGAGCTTCACACCGAGGGTTTTCAACAATCTTCTCAGTAGACCGGGTTAATACATCGCTTGCAACACTCTCACAACTTTCTCCGATGGATCTTTTCCTCTTTCCAGACGCTTTTTTATGATTTCCCTTCCTAGATTTACCAGCATCATCAATTGGCATTTGTAAACCACTTTCTTTAGCGACAACTTCTATCAATGGAAAATCTGCGCCAAAGGCGTTTGCAACGGTCAGAGAAATTTGCAGTTCGTCATCCGAAAGATCTGGAAAGTTTTTCCTGGACAGCCATGTGTGCCAATATCGAAGATGAATGATAATTGTTGCTGGTTCAAGTCTCTTGATAGCCTCATAGCCATCACCTCTTGTGATAAGGTCGCAGCGCATGAGTTCTTCCAGATAGATGTGTCTTTCTTTTATCAACTTTTGGGCTTTGATTGTCGAAGACTCGCAGGCAATCGTGTTGAGAGAATCGAAGTCTGGATCGGAAGCCTTTCGTGCAAAAACCTGACGAAATACAGCAAAATTATCCAACAAGTATCGAGTTTGAGAGATAACACATTGTGCTTGTGGAGAATCTTCATTTAAGTTTATCCTTTTCTCTCGATTCTCAATAACCGTGAAGTTTGCGATCTTATTACTGTTTCTTTGCAGAATGTTCGTGACATGCGCTTGTAAACTGTCTATAAGACCGTTCGTTGTTTCGTCGATACCGTCGCCGGAGTCAGGTAACTGCAGCATTGAAGATAGAAGTTCAGCTCTTCGCATAGAAAAAGAGACTGATGATGGTTCTTCTGAAGCCATAATGATGGATGAAGGCTGTGTTGAAGATAAATCAATAGTTTGTGCAATATCAATCGGGTTCTCGAAAGGCGCATCAGCCTTAAGGAGAGCAGCTTCGAAAGAATTATGAGCGAAGTTTGTAGAACGTAAGGCAGATAAAAATCTATACGCACTGTGTAGACTCAAAATATCAAATATGTTGTACACTTTAGATACAGATTGAATGTAGCGGTGGCAAATTTCAATCGAATGAAATCTATATTTTGCCAGTTTCTGAAGAAGCAAGGCTGTGTGCTCAAAGCAGGTTGATACAAGCGCATAAGCTATAGAACATTCGATATCGGATGGTATACAGAGCCTTGTATTCTCGACCGGATGAAGGTTTCATTAACTGGCAACATGTTGAACAATGCCCCGGTACTCGTGTTATAAGGAGGAGGTTTTTGATGAAAGAAACAACATCGTTGACAAATGGGCCTTGGACAACATGCATTACGTCAATCTTTTAAGAATAGAAGCAGAAGGTCGCAAAATAACGAGAAATTCGCATTCGAGAACAGCTTTCCAATCATGCTCTCCAAAGACTAACTCAGACCAAGTAATTGGCTACTACCTAGTATGATATCAAGGATTTCCTTTGATGTTTTGATGAATTACAATTCTCACATTTTGAATGCAGTCTCATGAGTCCATGCAACCAGTGCCATTTGCTGCCATCTACTGACGCAACCTCATACTACTTTCTGGTATTGTTCATGGCAATTGATAACTACCTCATCTAAAATACATTCAACTTGACCACGTCTCTTGAAATCATCGATCTTTTTGGATTCTTGCAGAAGGAAACTCATTTCACAATCTCACATTGAAATAGACAAACGCTCACATGTTATTAATGTGACGTAAAGATAACAGAGAGATGAATGTTTTTCAGGGCCTGGGATATTTACTGGTTCAAAAGGCCTGCATTTTGAGATCTAAGCACATTGTATCATATGATACATTCTACGCTGCTTTCTGTAAAACACAAGTCAAAAGACATATCTCAGGATCCAGTCTTGCCCTTTGATTTCTACCACAAATTCCACAAAGTTATTCACCTAATGTTCTTCTCCTTGAGCTTGGCGACGTTTCAACCTCTTGAATGCGTTGCTGCTCAGCTTGACCGAAGACTTTTCTCTATCAGTGCCAGCAATTTCCGAATTCTTTGCTTGAAGTGAGCCCATGCTCCTATCACCTATGGCTATTCGAGATTCTGCTTCTTGAACCATCCTAAGCTTCAGCTTCTTCATTGTACGCGCTTTCAACGGCCTTCCATTGAGACCGAGAATTGCAGGCGCCCGTACGCGACCGTTTGCCTTCTTGTTCATAGAAGCACCAGGGTCAGTTTCAGCCATTCCTGGAATAGTGTCGTTCGATCCTTCATCGTTGTTGGAGATGGCGACATGCTGGTTAGAATCCTCCCTTTCCGAAACTTTTTCGGGACCAGCGAGCTCAATTGTATGGTCGTCAGCAGCCAAAGCCTTAGTAGGAACTGTTTTGAATTCTACGCTCGCGGGAGTAACATCGGGCAACAAGGTAGAATCTACAATAAAATCAGTCCCTTTCCTGAGTATTCAGTCAAGCATTTCAAGCAAGAGTTCTTGTTTGGCTGCATACCTGACTTATCGCACATTCCTTGGTTAGGCTGAGCATTTGTACAGAATTTCGAGTTTATGCTGGACATTGATGCATTTTCACTGTCACTTTGAATTGGTTTTGTCCTATGTGGTAGACAAGAAGTCAGCTCCATTGTCGCTCAGGCTTGCTATGGCTTTGTTGAAAGGGTTTGCCAAGAGGCAATAACGTTGGTAAGAGGCAGCTGACCACAGCGTAACTTAATATTAAAGAAAAAAACAGTGAATAAGACCAAGTAAACTTAGAAAGTGGTCAGCAAGGCTACGCGAAGAAGTCGTGAGACTTTTCTTGAAGCACACAGAGTTGTTCTTGGTCAAAAACCACCAAGCTTTCATATCCTACCTACCCAGCTTCTTGATAACGTTGACATCAGCCATGGTCAGCTCACAAGTATCACTGGGAAAATCGGAAGAATCGAACGGAAAAATGATAGCTGAATGGGCTCAGGAGTGGGAATCAGAAGTTGTGGAACTCGCAAATACTAATGGAAACGGGTGGTCAGAACGAGATTTGTCGGAGCTGGGAGAGAACCTGATGAGGACTTTGGCCAAGGCTATTGACCCCATTCTATCATCTCGAGTTACAGAATATTATCTCAACGCGTCTCAAAGTGCTACTATAGCACCACTACCTACCGGGTAAGATGAAGTGTTACTTTGGCGTAGGTTCGTAGGCTAATATCAAGGTAGAATGATTTTATCAAATCCACTGGCACATCCTACACACTCTGCCAAAGTTGGCAGTCAGTTAAGGGCTATCGACTTTGACAGTCCCAATGAATTACGACATTCTAAGAAAAATTCTTTCGAACACTATGACGGCAAAAATTTAGATGATTCAATTTCCAGGTAAGTTTGATGTCTAGCTAGATAGGCTTGCAGTGCTATATTGAAAAAGCTAACATTAAGTTTCAAGTAGAGGTACGAAGATTGCCCCACCAGATACACTCAAGCGCAAGTGTTCCAGTCTCGAGAAGCCTGACACGAGGCCCAAGCTACCAGAGAAGAACTCCAAGGGAACAGCCAAAGATCTCAAAAAACTTGCTTCGAAAGAATCCAAGGTGCCTCCAACACGTACTAGACTTACTCGTTCCAGAAAATCTACACCGTTCCAATCTGGTATATCTCGTCCACAATCGCAGAATCCACTTACAATGTCTAGCAAGAATGACCTAGTGAACAGCTCTGTGGATAAGAGCGTCACAAGAAATCAAGGTCTAATGAATGTCCGATTACCAGACGCGCATTCAAATACGTCAGAGTCACAAATTCCCAGAAAGCAACAGGTTCGAAGCTACACTTATAGGAAAGAGCAGACTGTAGTATTACCCAAGACCCTTAATCTTGTCATTGTGAGCTCAGAGAAGGCAGACGTCAGTCGGTACGAAGTAAGCGATTCTGAGTGGGCATTGTCTGAATCTACACTGCTGCGGGCCATAGTCTACGACAAACCCCATCCAATAGAGCAACCTGGCAGATTAAAGATGGTTATCAGAAACGACGATTCGATCACCATCAAGTGGAACGAAGTGATTGCTGACTATGCCAGACGAGGCAAGCCACCGGCAATTGCTATCCAGAGCTGGGGATTGGATTCTGCTTTCAAAGCACTCGGACCATGGTTTGAGCGGGTGACGAAGAATAGTGGTGAATGGGAGACATGGTCCGCAGACGAGCTAGTTGAGGGATCTAAGGTTGATTGGCTTATTGGTGCTCGGGACTTGCATACCATCTAGTTGGACGATCACGATGAGAATTTATAGCCGGATGGAACGACTGAGATTGTTTCTGATAAGCCGGTGGAACTTGGAATAGTATCCTGAGAGTGTGGTGGCTCGAACAAATGTGTAAGCAGGGATATTAGTTCGGTACATACTTTCGACCTCATTTGCGGCTCATGGAGAATGATTTACAGCGTCAAGTCAAAGGGGGTTTTCATAGGCTTTGATCGACTGGTTCGGGGAGAGATCAAGTCTTCTATGAGGGTAGATCAATAGAAATCAAATAAGCAGTGCTAGAAGCAATGTACACTTTGTGAACTTGAAGTTTACTTTCCCTTACAAAATTGGCTAAGAGACCACAGTATCTCCTATTTTGAGCCTCAATGCTTCAGTCAAGTAGTTTGTTTGGCTTTTAACTTCCAAGCGGAACATATCAAAAACCAATTTTTGGGTTTTGATATGATGGTCTTCGCATCTGCGCAAATGTTTCTTGTTGATGTCTGCTTTAAAACCCAGCGAGAAAATCATTCTATCGAGGTTTTGATGGACGCTTTCTGTACGGTGTACGGTCTCTCTACTTGAACAGACTCGGTGAGTATATCCTACCATCCTGTGAAACGAATATGAGTAATTGCCTAATAGAAGTCAGGAAATCAATTATTGACTTGAAAAGGGGATCTGGGGATGGAGGGGTAAGTGAGGGGCTTACACTTTGTGAATCCACTTCCGCTCCGCATCCAGTCTCAGGCACATGGACGTCAGACATTTTGTACAATACGCACCCCCCAATGAGCTCGGTGTGATAGAACTTCAAAGCAACAATGCTCTAGCCTGGCTTCGCTAATGTAATATTCAAGAACTGAAGCTATAAAATAGGGAGAAAGCTCTCATAATCTGAGCAACTACCGGTAGATAGTGTCGAAGGCATTTGTAAAAGACTAAGTCTCAAGGCTTTTTTTTCTGTAAAGTCACACTCTTCTACTTCATTCTATTCCTATCTCCTTCATGAGCTTAGAGTCTTGAATTGTTTCTTCTGAGTGCTGAAATCGAAGATCTATGGCGGAACCCCACCCCGCCTACTTATTAGACCATATAAGCACGGGACACCATCCTAAACTTCGGGGAGTTTAGCTCGCTTAGGTAATCTAACCGTGCTACCCAAATGAGTGTACGAACTCACGGGATAGTACAAAAATAAACTTGTGAATATCTTTTGATATATCGAATCATTTATTTTAGGAATTATTATAATTCTTGAATAGAGATAAAACAATCAAATACAAATTCTGATAAACAAACAATACCCAAGATAGTACACGAATTGACATCCATCGCAAGACAGGTGCACCAGTGGGTGCATAGACTCATGGGACACTTAAGAGGAAAAGCACAATTTCATACCAAAAAGAGCTGTTTTGATAATTTAATTAAAATTCAAAAAATTGATATTTAATTTTGAAATTAAGAATTATTATTTTCAAATATAAGAATTTTATATAATAAAAGTTTTATTTCAAAAAAAAACAAAATTCAAGTTTATATAATTAATTATATAATATTCTATCAAATTTTTTAATAAAAAAATATATTATTTGATTTTTAAATTCAATATTCATTTTTAAAATTCAATCTTTATATATTATATAAGTCTTATATTTATGAATTATATGTTTTGATTTGAATAATATTAAATGGAATTTGGAATTTTGATTGAGTTTTGAAGTTGATAAATTTGAGTGTGAAATTGTGCTTTCCTGTCATGTTGTCCCGTGAGTCTGTGCACCTACTGGTGGTGCCTTGAGCCTGATTACGTAATATTTAGCATAGCGCGCGTGCTCAGGTCAGAATCCTAATTGACTCACTCAACACAATGACCACATGCATATCAACATTCACGATTGAACTTCCAAATACGTAATATGGAAGAATCAAGGAGCAGGCTTGAGTTGCTTCCCGTAGAATCGATACAAGCTATTCAGTGTCTCATCGAAAACGTTCCTGATCTATTGTCCATCATTCTTACCTGCAAAGCCATATACAAGGCTTTCCTCTCGGCAGACGGACTGATTCTTAAGCAAGTCCTCACTAATGAGATAGGCTCTGAGGTGCTATCTGAAGCAGTCTTAGCTGCTTCAATATCACGCCACGTACCTGTCAGCGACGATGTCCTTGACGAGCCTGATAATCTTAAGGCCTATTCCAATTTGAAGATTTGTGATGCGCTATTCCTGAGCAAACTTCATTCTCATATTGTTTATTTCACGAAAGATTTTATATCGAAAGCTTTTTCATCCCCGATTTTCACAAAAAATAGTCCAATACCCATGTGGCGGCAGCTTCCAGCCTCAGATGAGGAAAAAAGGAGGATTCAACGAACTTTCTACCACTTTCAAATCTATTGTTATATAGTTTACGGGGGGGAAACGCCCTTCCGCGCTCATTTACATATGGATCAGAACAGAATCTTCTTCAATCATTTCTCAGTCTGGGAAAACGAACAGTTAGCTTGCGTTCACGATTACATGTTTCGTATCATTGCTCCTGGTACAGTGCATTTTCACTGTAATTCTTTTTGATGGAATGACTAACACATCAATGTAGGCTTCGATGAGCTCGTCGAATATGATGTGAAATGGGCCGAACAAAGGATGCAGTACGCTTCTTTTGATGATCCAGAATATATCGAGCCACTAATCGCTCGTGGTCTTTTCGTAATCCGCGATATGCTGGAAGCAAAGAGCTACGAACGAATTTGCAAAGCTTACTGTCAGGACTCTCCGAACTATTCATCACATCTCCTTGATCATGGACTCAGGAATTCCACAGAAGGTAGTGGTGAAGATGAATTGTATTATTGGCTTGAGGATTATTCCAAGGAAGATGATGATAAATATGTCAATAGGTCTGTATGGTGTGATGATGATGATAAGGGACCAGAACTAGTATGGAGGTGGGCACGCCAATTATTTAACAGTATTGACTTCGTTCTCTGCGATAAGCATAGATTTGAGCGAGAATGGGGCTACGTGATGTGGGATCATAGTCGAATTCTAGAATTGGGTGTGATGGAGAACGAATGGGAGACGACGAATGATGCTGAAAATGGTAGAGGATCACGACCGTCAAAAGAATCTATGGATAGGAGAGGCAAGATATATCTTGCTGGTGGTAGGGGATGGTGGACTGCCGAGGACGAAAGCAAAGTAGTTTGGCCACACGGTTGTGCGCCCTGGGATCAACCTAAAGAGCCTGATAGATGGGACTCAAAAGATGAAAGATCAATGGACGAGGCGAAGGAGTTGATAAAGAAGTTGAAAATACCTACTTTGAGATAGGTTTCTTTTTCTAACGACGCAAACTAAACTATCGGGTAGTTCTTGATGCACTTTATACTCATGTAAAGCCTCTAAGATTACTTTACGGAGAGGAAAATGTAATGTGGGGGTTTTTGAATATTGAACTTACGATACAGTTCATACAGAAATATAGTGTAATCCAATTAATCTTGAGCTTATGACTCCTGTCTATGTAAGTATCTAATTCATTTAAAACCCATAATGTTATACTTTTATCACGTGTAGTTACTAAATTAGCTTAGCTTAGATTAGCTAATCCTGGGCCAATATCTTGGCCCTTGGCACCATTCTAATTCTACATCTTTTATTCCACACATAAACCTCACACATAAGGTACTAAATATAGCTATACACTCAAGTGGAGAAGAACCCGAATGATATCATGGCACGTGTGAGATCTATCCCCCTAATTTCCGAGAAGATCACTAATCTGATTCAAGGCTGATAAAATTGATATGGTGTGCCCAGATGAGATGGGTAGCCTTTACAAGTAGCTCGTACTAATAAACATCAGACTCAGGGCTGAAAGACTTCAATTACAGTATCTCGCTTGTGATATTAGACGATCTGGACCCACAATAACTTTGTGGCATCAGAGTACGGGCAAAAATCACCAGCAAGAGCATGAACACCCACCGGAAGTAGAAATCCTATAAGAAAAAACAAATAGTGGATAAGCCAGAGCGGGGATCACTGTGGGAAGAATAAAAGTGCAAAAATCTACAACCTACGGGGGACAAACGGCGCGGGCCTGGTCGGTCGAAACCTAAGTACAGGTATGCCACACCACATGTCTGTTGTGATTTTTGATGAAGCAACGATGTTGCAACATATATTCCTTGCCTCTTTTTCCCTTTCTCATGCTACTTATTTAACACTCATACAATGCCAAGTCCACTGTACAATTTCATAAGTTCACAAACTACGATTTGTTCCGTTTGGACCTGGAGTGAGGACCCAACATTATTGTTAGGGAACGCAGCCAAAAGGTAAGGCAACCAACTTCTGAAAACTTTGGTCAGATGCTGCTTTTTGAAGTTGATGGGGAAGAATAATTTTACGAATATATTTCTGACACTACTGATAGCCAGCAAGTATCAGAAACTCTTGCAAAAGTGCTTGGCCTTAGGACCGAAAGTTTTTCGGATTTTATACACATGGACACAATATATGTACGCAAGTGACTGTGTGTACTACACAAGAGCATTTGATATGAGTGCTGATGATTGATTTATAGGAAACTGACAACTAAAACTAAGTATTACGTGGACATAAAGTTCGCTTTGAATTAATGTAAACCAGTGGATGAGGTAACTAGACTTGAATGCCTAGAATGCATACCGCCGGACTACCAATATATGCGTCATCAGTAGATTGCTATAGACGCTATAATAACACGGTTCAGTCCATAACACTGGACTTCGTTGACTGCGCGCCCCTACCGTTCCCAAAAGCGCACAGTGACCTCCCAATGCGTATCTCTCCAGGATTATCTCATGCTAAAAGGACGATAGAGCGACTTGGACTTGTTGTTCTTTGCAGGAAGTAGCTTATTATTCGCGGGATTGTCCGAGACGTGTTCATTTCCCGAAGTCTCCGCGCTAATGGCGTCCTCCAGAATTGGTGCTTCGACCATCAGTTTATCACCGGCAGAGTCTCCGTTGAAGGTTTTCTCAATAATAGATTTGGTGCTTGCCGAATTATCGTTGGTAGAATTTTGGTTCACAGGCTTGCTACCGGTCTTGCTTTTGTCAAGAGCTATCTCGCCCATAGACTTTTCACTGCCAATTTTTTCGCCAATGCGTCCACCACCAACAACTTTGGCTCCTACCATCTTATCTTCGGCGGACTGTGAGATTACTCCCAAGCCTGTAGAACTATTAGGATTGCTTGGCCGGTATTGTCTGAGGAAGCTTGTGTAGGGAGAAGCATGAACAGAAGAAGTTGTGAGATTGTTGTTAATCTTCAGCCTTTTGTTATGACTATCCGAAACAGTAATGTAAGCCTCATTGCTAGGTTCGGTTCCTTTTGTATTGACTTTTTGTAAATGAATTGTCTTGTCGTCTTGCTTCACATTGACAGAAGTGAACCTGGTCTCCTTATCTTTTGCGACATTGTTACTCTTCATATCACCCTGATTGTCGCTCGCAGAAACAGTCATATTTCGCTTGGGTGTAATGAGATCGTTCTCCGTGGCATTGACCTTCTTCCCATCAGTATTGGTGGCTCTTTTCTGCTTCTTTCCTCCCGTGCTACTATGCGCTAGTTTTGCTGGCCGTCGATCGAGAGGTTCACTTCTTATCTTCTTTGCTTCTGCAGATTTTATTTCGCGTTGATTGATAGGACTATTAACAGGTGTCCCAGGACTAACCGGAAAACTAAAATGCCTAGTTGTGTCTTTGCTATGCACATGAGGTATCATTGCTGAGGAAAGACGGGTAACTTCATATTCAGCTCCAGGAGACAGGACAGGTGAACTTGGATGGCAGGCATAATCTCTCGGCCTAAGGCTTTCGATACGTGAGTTTGTCGATTCCGGTGACGGCGTATCTAAGATGACAATCACAGCTTTATCTTGGGCACTGACGGAATTTCTGGTGTCAGAGAAACGATTTCCGGTTTTGGTGCGTGTTGTACCGCTATGAGACAGTGTTAACTGTTCTTCGTGAGAGGTCGGTAAATCTTGTCCATGTTTGTCACGACCACTAAAAACTGGCTCGAGGCCTGTTAAACTAGTCATAGGACGTTTGGATCCACCACCAAACCCCTGAGCTCTATTTGGGTACCTGTCATCTCGAATCTGTGTTGCAGGTAGGATGAATCCCACAGGAACTTGAGAGGCTTGTGAATATTCTATGCCGTCGTTATATTTAGCACCTGCCATATTGAAAATATTACGCGATGGCTTATCGCGAGCAGTGGGTGGTTGGTACTGTACACCAGGATGTGAGCTATCCGACTGTTTACCTTTCACCGATAGGGTAACTGGCAATGCAGGATGAGGTTGCTCCTGAACTGATTGAGAATATCTTGGCAGTTGCAAATGACCCGCGTTGGGCTGCAGTATTGATGGAATCCCGGATAAATATGTTCGACTCGAGTGCATAACATTATCGCCTGAGTTTCCTCGTCTTGTGCTGGGTCCTGTGAGGAGAGCTTGTAAATTTTTCTGATTATCCCTGCTCGCAGGCACCATGGGGCGGGGAAAGTGATTGCCCAATGGTAAGGTTCTCGCCTCTGGAATTTGCATTGTATTCACACGATCGATGCTGCTAATCCTAGCATAGTTTGCCACTTCTGCGATTGTTTCCATGTTTGGAAGGACAGAGAGACCTGTTAATAGGTGTCGTTATTATGTGGATCAATAGAAAGGTATGTATGCACTTACCTCGAGTATGACGGGCTTGATTGACTAAGTTGTTCTTGATGTTCCAAAACCACCCGAGATGGTCAATCATCTGGTCAATAAATGCGCCATCTTTTTCCAGCCTTAATTCCCACTCAAGATCAGTCCAGACTTTATGCGCCGAGGCGAAAATATCATTTGGTGTCCAAGGTTGTTCAACAGGACGTTGGGCATGAGTTATCTGAACTCTGGGACGTGTGGACACCCATGAATAGAATTGAAGCATGTTTTGGTACACACGAAGCAGATCATCCGCGGCCTTCTCGTTGCCTGGATTTAAAATGCCGATTCTTTGAAGTTCATCAATAATATCATGGGCCCAAGCGGTGATGCTATGACGATTCATCGATGGGAGATCGTTTTTGGACCGCGCAAATGGGTTCAACATATTGTAGTTTCTCAATTTCTGGATTTCGATGTGCAAAGGCTCGGAATGTTGTTTTGTTTGTGAGCAAGACGTGGTCGATGTCTCGACTTAAAATCGTTTTTGTATAAACCATTCAATTTAATACAGGGCTAGCGTATGGCAAGATCAAATTTTCTGACCAATATAAGAAGTTTGACATCGAAAAGAGTACAGCCAGTGAGAACGGGTCACACCATGCGGCAATTTCGTTTACAAGAAGTGAATAATGCTGGACATCGGACGATATGCTAAGAATGAGTCCGAGCTTTTATTGATGATACATGCTGGTGTCTTTCTCAAACGTACAATCAAATGAGTTCATTAAATCTGTACAAATTGGTTCGCTTGAAGACATGATGGCACAAGGAAAATCAAAGAAGCTCGATTATCTAGTTTTCGCTTATGAAAGGGGCTCTGGTCCCAATAATGAACACAGAGCATTATCCTGTACTTTGATTAAGAGACAATAATTGCTAAAATACAACGTCTTGAGAACCACGGCTAATGATGAGCGTAGAAATTTTTGAAGCAAGAAAGGTCAGTATCTCAGTGATGATTACCAGACAATTAGCCTTGAATCAATCATGAGAAAGAGCCGCATTTAGCTGTTTGTGATGTTTCGAGGCAGGAATTTCATAGATGGGCCAAGCAAAAAAATTGCCGAGAGGAAACCTGCGAGAAGAATGATGAGAAATATTCGTGAACAGAGTAAAGTGTGTATCAGTACTGGACGGCGACTAATCGACCTGAGCTTTATATGAATATGTAAATAGACCGGTAGTAGAAATATCCTTTGAGGCGGTAATGAACTTCTCCCGCTCCTTTTCGTTGAGTTTGCTTTAGCATTATACTTTTGGTTTTCACTAGCATTTTTTTTCAAGTGAATTTAGAAATACAATTTTTTCGTAAGAACAGTGCTCAATTATCATGTTTCGTATCTGGAATTTCTCCTATATTCTCTCATTTATATTGAAATGTTGAGAATCTAAATCTTGATATTTTATCAAATCTAGTCAAACGTTCAGAGCCTTTGTAATCCGTTATTCTCATCCCTATTCTCAAGTGCATTCTATTCTTGTGATCCTAGTCAATAATTGAAATCCACACATTCTCTCAATCCAATCCACGCGCTTAAGTTCTTAGACTTTTTATCTCTCTTATATATCAAAAACTACTACATTCTCTTATTCATACTTAACAATTTATAATTACCCTTGATTTTCTTCCTATTAATGAAATATTCTTGAAACACTCATGAAAGAGTTAGGCCGTAACAATGGTACAAAGTTTGATTGCCAAGCAAGATGCCAATGTCTGTGGCAAGTTTAGTCAGGATTTGATGAATAGCTTACACTACACACCGAGAAGCCTGTAGCTAAATATTCGATTAGCATTCGAAGGTAGCCCACCGAGTCTCTGCGCAAGCATGACTTGGTGTCGTCAAGTATTATGACCCTTGACTCGATTGAAGTTGTGATACCTCGAAACTCAAACAATGATGAGCTTTACCCACAGAATATAGGTATGGTATGTTTAGAACTCACTGTATGCTGCCTTGATTTTATAAGATTATTAACAGGGCAGGGTATAATTTCAATCATTGGCAAACCTTTTGAGCACATTCACTCATTAGAGTGTCACCAATAACAGGTTAATACATTGAATCTGGCAGCAGACCTACAGGTTCACCTCACCTCTCAACATTAAGCCAATCAGTACTGCATTTGGTACGGAAAATCCTGAATTTATCTGGCTTCATCACGCTACTTACCAATCGACGAATGATTACTATTGGATGTATGCGAATTGTGGTATTGACAAGTTGAACTTGAGTGAAGCTTGTTCGTCTTAACAAAAAAATCCTACCATAGAGCCTGGACTTTGTCCAAAATAAGAATCAGATAATTGAAGTACCGACTTAGTAACCTTTTTCTACCACGTACAAAAGGATCATCGGAGAGAAAATCATTCATTGTCGCGACTCGACACCCTCTTCAATCATCCATCTCCCAAAAGAAAAGATTCAACAAGGTGGGCTTTGTATCAAAGCATATAATGAGCTTCCCCTTGAGAGAAATCTGGAGCGAGCTCTTGCGCTCTACCTCAAATAATGAAGCTGTCCTGAGAGAACTTCTCGGGGGTCGCCCAGAGATCGAACGGGCGACAGATTTGAACTCCATGTTTATGAATTATATTTCTATCATCTACAAGGTCTTTAACATAAAGATAGAAGGTGGACAGATTGATCCAAGAGGTTTGTAAGATGCCAATATAAAAACGAGACCAAAATTGACAACTGCGTCGATTTAGTTAGGCTACCGAGCGACCACGAGTTTATCGAAATGCTGAAGTTATTGGTACGCTATATAAACGACATCACTACTTGGATTGAGGACCATGATCGAACCGGCGCTCCTCGGTCGTCTATTGGTGGTAAGCATCAGTATGACGCAGATCTAGGGAACAAGCTCACAAATTGCTCAGAATTTTACGCAGAGTCATTGCTCGAAGTAGACGCGCAGTGTCAGAGATGGTGGGTGTTGGCCGATATGACCATCTTCGATCCGGCCACCACTCCGTTCAAGATACTCCCCACGATGCCGCTTAGTGATCAAAGTAATCTGCAGCAATTCAATCCAGCTAGCTTCAACCGGTTCAAAGATGCACAACCTTTGTCATCCATGGAAGATAGCCCCACGGATATAAGTACATTTAAAGCTCCACCGTCGCCAGTATCATCACAGAAACAACTTCGAACTCCCTCTACTGCTTCCTCGAGCTTCAGTTACCAACCCGCAACGATGTCCCTCGACAAAGGTCAGATAACAGCCGATTATACTGATAATTGGAATGATGGCGAAGATACGAGCTTCTCCTCGCATAATTCACATGGTGATATAGATCGGCGCTTCCTATATAATGGCAGCGTCAAACCTGGAGGGCTTGCTATACAGCAGACACCCCTCTTCATGCCACTCACACCTCGATTAGAGCAGAACGGATTCGCACCATCAACCAACCCGAATTCATCGTTTCATGCACCTTTCAATAAACAAAGCGGATTTTATCAACCGATGCCTCCGCCTGCTCGAAAGATTGCTATACCACGGCTTCAAAAACAAGGAACCTTCGAGCCACTTTTTCCACCAACTGAACATCCCAAACTTCGTCCTTCTCTGCCTGCTCCACAGACTTCCACTTCTGGACCACTTAGAAAGCGAGGATACTCAGAATTTCCGCCGCAAGCTTTGAGTGAAACCCCCAAGAAGCGACGAGCAATAGCCACCGAGATGCCACATCATGAACCAGGATACACTGGAACGCAAGAGTTTCCACCTGGCTCTAGACTTTCGCCTGCTAGTTTGATGCACAGCTCCCCTGGCAGTGCATCGAGATTTCCTAGCGAATTCTATAATACCAATCACTCAGCCTCGACAGCTTTCAGTGCCGTCAAAAGAAACGCGGAAACGCTGCAGACTAATTTCAATAGTGTTCCACACAAGGTCGCGATGGGTTCACAAATGGATTGGAGCAGCACAGTTTCAGCCGAAAATGGCCCAAAAGAGAGAATCAGAAACATCGTTACCACACAGCAGGACTGGAATGACACTGTATCAGCCGCTTCTGACTCAGAAAAAGGTGCGGCAAATACAGGTCTTGGAATTTCAAGTCCAAAAATCAGTCGCGATCCGTCAAAATTACCAGGAACTCCTATGATATGTGCGGATATGAGTATAGGACATGTACGCCCGGCTACGTTCCAGCAGCCAAATTATTTCAGCTCGCCAATGAACTCACCAACAAAAGGAATTAATTCAAGGGAGTAATGTATCCGGCTTTATATGATCAATTGGAAGTCGACTAATACATGGTTTGTTAGTGCTGGCCACAAAAGCTCACGAAATCTGCACCACAGTGCACTCAAAAGAGACTATGTTTTAGACGAACAACAATATTTGGAAAACAATCAGTCAAATGTATCCAAGCCATGGTAAAGTGTTTACTTGTTTATGTAAATCATCAGAGAATAGGATTTTGTTATGAGAGTCTGTTTCGTCTGAGTAGCAGACAAGTACTGTGGTAAAGAAGCACAACTGGAAATGATCGCGAGGTGATACTCCCTCATTGCGAAGGGCCGGAGATAGGACTCAGGAAACTTAAAACAAAAGAGTGTGTGCTTGAAGCTCTAGATTTTTCAGAGACGACCATTCAGTTTGCACTCCATAAAGCTTTAGAAGGTGGCGTGCTCATACCTGCATTTGTATGTGTCTCCAACGTTGGGACGGAGAATTGGCCGATCCAACGCTTGAAAACTTGACAAACAACCGGTGCCATTCATGGTTCATTCCATTTCATCTTCTGTGACCTTACGCCTTGTGGCCCAGGAGTAGTTTGTTTCTAATTTTGACGTCACTATTTGTGTAGCCCCCCGAACCTTTAGATGCGCCCGCAATACAATCCTATTTGTACAAACATTTCCAATATAAAACTCTTATCCTTTTCTATGTACTTTGTTGAGTTTCCTTGCCGTTGATATCTGCCGTCTATTAGTATTTGCAATCTTGTGTACCCCGCTCCGCATGCTTGCACATACCTGACTCTTCGTATTTTGCCCTCTTACTGGCAGGCCCATCGCATGCCTCCTCCCCCGGTAACTACCCATAGTCCTCATTCTTTCGATGTTATCCTGCAACCTTCGTCTCAATTCCGTCTCTAAAGGCATGGTGGAAAGCTCAGCGGTCAGAGATGTGACCGTTTTTTGTGACAAGGAACCGACAGTCGCCGTGGGATGGATGTAGTGCTTGGCCATAATGCGAGCTGAAGCTTGGTTCCCTAAGCCATAGAAGGACTCCAACGATTTCTACATGCCATGAGTATGTGAACCAACAGGCTCAATGGGAGTTGGATGGGGCCTTACCTTCACCAAATTTCTCTCAGCGAACGAGATCCCCAAGATGAAAACCTGTAACCAATGTCAATGCCCGAAAAGAAGAAAAGGATCAACATAAACATACCATTTTCAGGGAGTTCTGATTATACTGGTACAAGGGATATATGTCTTTAATGTCTCTCACAGTCCTTAATTAATCATAAAGATGTGAAAGTTACCTACCAATTTTTGATAACGCACGGACTTCTTGTTATGACCCTCAAGCCTTCCTATTCCGAGGCTCGCACGTGCCATGTGGCGCTAAAGATAATCGACACCTCTCCACAACATAACTCGAGCTTCCTCTGAACAACATCACTTTGTTCTTCTAAGGTTTTTCTTGGAGTGCACATTATCTTCATTTCAAACGTATACTTCATCAAGTCGATATTCAATTGACTTCCAAGATGTTCACACTTCAACGTTTGGTAGTCTCAGCACTACTTATCTTAACTGTTACCTTCCTCTTCTTCGCTCAAACGGCCGAAGCTGCCAAAGGACCAAAGATTACCCACAAGGTCTACTTCGACATCAGCCACGGCGATGAACCTATGGGTCGTGTTGTACTAGGTCTTTATGGCAAAACCGTCCCTAAGACTGCCGAGAACTTCAGAGCTTTGGCAACTGGCGAGAAGGGATTTGGGTATCAAGACTCTACTTTCCACCGTGTTATCAAGGGCTTCATGATCCAAGGAGGTGATTTCACAAAGGGTGACGGAACCGGCGGCAAATCAAGTAGGTTACAAATTCTGCGAGCGAAGTACCGGGTTCTAACGATTGATAGTCTACGGAGCTAAGTTCCCAGATGAGAACTTCAAGTTGAAGCACTCCAAGAAAGGTCTTCTCAGCATGGCCAACGCCGGAAAGGATACCAACGGTTCCCAATTTTTCATTACTACTTCTACTCCCGGGTAAGTCATTTCTTGCAAGTCCTGTAATGGAACCCTATCATTCTAACCCTCTTCGTAGTCATCTTGATGGTAGACATGTCGTCTTTGGCGAAGTCTTGGAGGGATATGAGATCATTGAGGCAATCGAGAACGTAAAGAAGGGAGGACAAGATAGACCAGTTGAAGCTGTCAAGATCACTGAGAGTGGGGAATTACCAGTACCAGAAGAAGGTATCCACGTGGAACTCTAGAGTAGACTCCTTTTGCGGCATGCGAGCATGATTGGGAGGACTTACTGATTCGTCTGTCTTACGTGCTGTAGATGTGTACGGTACTGCTGAATTTCAACCCGGCATGGAAGAAGTCGAAGTCCCCCTTACACCAACCGATCCTTCCACTCCTGCTGCTGCCACCGCAGTCATTCCAGTTGTTGGTACTCCACCAAAAACCGAGACAGAGGAGTTTGGCTATGCTGATGAGGCTGGTTACACTCTTATGCAAAAAGGATTGTTTTTGGTTGTTATTTTAGGATGTGTGGCCTTCTACGTGCGAATGAATAAAAGAAGCAAGAAGTTCGAGAGGTCAATCGTCTAGTTATATAGCTTTCCATTTAAGATCACTCTTTACATGTATTGATGGTATCCTCTCAATCTATTCGCATTCTTATTTCCTATCCGATTTCTGTCTCCAAACATGGTATGCCTTGACAAAACAATATTTGTGGACGTTTGGTCCCTATTAATTAACTCTATACTCTAATAAATCTCCTGTCATTAACGCCCCTGACATTTAGACCAACTCTGATTTTGACCAAGGATCGCGCACCGAAGCGTCAATCGTTTGCACCAATGAATTTCTCGACCGCACACGCCTTCTCGAGTACTCCGGGTTCCCATTCCACCCAGTATTCGCTGCTCTTAACAACTCTAATATTACAAGATTACAACGTTGACCAGATAATCAGAGCTTGCTGATGTAGCCCATGACTCAGTCGATGGTATTTTCACATTTGTAGAGCAACATTCACAACTAAACTGGATTTTGAAAGTAGTTAATAAATATCTATGGAGACACAGACAGCTGCCTCTATATATGGGGTACGAGGACCTGTATTAAATTCCGCAAACTTCCCAGCCAAACGACATGATGATGTCAAAGCAATCATCTTCTTACATATATTCTTCTCTATTCTGCGGTCTTCCTTCTTTCACTGATGGGCACTTGTCTTACTGAATTCTCACCATGAATGAAAGATGTCCCAAATACATTGTTCTTGAAGTGAATGAGAGTATAACCCGGAGCCTCCACTCATGAGAATCATCAGAGCATCGCAACTCTCCTCAATAGAATCTCAACGTCTTTGTTGCGGAAGACTTAACTAACGATCAGCATCAGCGTTTTCCATCTTGATCTTCTTGCCCGAGGGTCTCGAAGGACCTGCAAGAGAACTAGCGTTGCTGTTAGTGTTTGCAGGTCGCTTCTGAGTGACTACTGGACCAGCGGTAGAGCTATCCGAATTTGCAGAGTTAAACACTGGGACGCGTTGTGGGCATTGTGTGCGTGTTGAGCTTCGGCGGCGACGGAGATTTGGCTGTGGTGGTCTAGATTGTTCCATGGCAGCGCCTAGTCCTAGACGCGGCTGTCTGTTACCTTGAGGATTTCCATTCTGCTGGTTACCTTTATTCTGAGGACCTGAAGTAGCAGGAACGTTAGAGCTACCTGCTTGAATAGCGTTGGGACCACCTGCCTGAACAACATTAGGTCTACCTGTTTGAACAGCGTTAGGCATGGCAGAAGATACGGTTGGATTTGCTCTGCGTGGGCCGTGGGCGAATGCCGGGTGGGAAACCATGAGAGTGCTAATCATTCTGCCTGCGTTAGGATCAGCGGTGGGCATGAGCGCATAAGGCTGATTGAAAGCAGGATTTGAGTCGTCAGACTGCCCACTTGATTGACTGTCGCTAATTACCAAACTGCCAGCAGCTACAGACATACCGGTTGACTGTCTTGCACCTATTCGAGTATTTCCGGCTCTACGAATGGGGTTATGACCAGGATTTCCGATGATAGATGCGTGACCAACAATACCAGTATTTGCACCAACGGGATTTTGTGGAGGGCGAGCGGGCTGAAGAGCGGGCGGGAGAGCTGCAGCTGGAACTAGAGTTGGGAAAGCCGGAGCTGGGTGATTAGGATGAGGTGGCATTTGTCGTGGTAATTTATAGCGCACAAGCTCTAAAAATCCATCACGATCCGTCGTGCGTGGTTGACCTGAAAGTCAGTCAGTGATAATCATTAAGGATATCAATAACTCAGTGATAAATACCTGTCAAATCCCTCAGCATGTTATTCATGTAGCATTTATACTGCCAAATATGGTACACTTGCCGAAAAATCTCGCCAACGAATTGATTAGGCTCTTCATCCATCAAGTCGGCTTCAATTTCTTGCCAAATGATTCGAGCTCTACCGAGCACGTTTTCTGCAGTATACTGTAGCTCCTCGCTAGGATCATGAACGAAGGTCAGAAAACCCATCGGGCCAGGTCTAGGGCGAGAGAAAATCCAACGCTTGAAGGAGGAATGATTCTGGATGATCTTGAATAGTTGTCCCCAGAGCGCAGGGACCAAGTTGACAGTATGCAGATTGTAGGATTGCAGCTCATGTATGATTCCTCGTACCCAAGCAAATATTCCTTGCCGCGAAAAAACCCCAATGTCTACGACGGTATAGTTACCAGACAGAAGTGGATTTTGAGGTGTATTAAACGAAGCACATGCTTCATCGGCGCGGATATCAATAGGATGTTGTGGCTGTAATGATATTCTAAACGCCAAATTGAGTTGAGTAACTGAATTACCCATACCAGGTTGGTGATTTATGTTGGCCATGTTGATTTTATTGAGAAAGCTCGACTTTCGATGGATAAGGTATGGTGTTGAGAATAATTATCAATTCTCTTGATGAGTTTGGTAAAGAGGTAAGTAATTCAAATAATTGATGAGATTCTTATGTTGAGAATAGTGAGAAAGAAGGACTCACGACGGAGTATCTGGGTGCTTATAAGCAAATTGAGGAAACCCAGAGCAGAACCGTAAGTTGAGGATAATCATTGAAAGCACTGTACATCAGCTGTACTACAACTGAATTGTAAGTAATGGCACCGAGCTGTAGACCTAGCCTCTCATCCCAACTCACTAGGTCTTGAATGATGATGAAAATATACGCGACATTTTATGGGTGGCCGTACACTTTTCAGCCAACCATAGCTCTACAAGATTTGAAATTTCTCTGTAACAATTGGAAAAAATGCACATAGCCCCTACTACTAACGGAGAACAAGCAATGGAGTCAGCCGTATAGAAGCAAGAGACAAGCAAAGAATAGAGGAAGATGAGTCAGGTACGATCCCCAATTTTACAGATCAATATAGAAAACGACGAAAAATCAAGTCTAATAAGCTGTAGTTTGATTCATAATTATTAGGTGTAATTACGAAAGGATGTTCACCTTGCCATGTGCATGATATCAACTATCATAATTTAAGCGAAATTAGCGTTTGCATTTTCATGGTTCATTCGGAAGGAGGTACAGAGTAAGGAACCAAGACAATGGAGGGGTATCAGACTCTACGAATTATAGAGCAGTTAGTTTGTCTGGGATTAGCATCAATGAAAATTACTAAAGCAGAATCCCTAATATTTGAGCCCAACGGAATCCATTCAACCCTAAATTCGGAAAGCTTTCTAAAATTCGAACTAAGCAGGCGCCCGACTTTTCAAAATAGCTAAACGGGGTTTGGGGATTCATGGTATTGGCTCTATGTAGGAGGAAAAACAGGCCGGGATTGACCACTGGCAAAGCCCATCAACAATCCAATTATTCCATTCCAATTCACAGAATCAAGTATTCAGATGATTGCATAGTCGAAGATTATTTAAAGATTTATTCAGTATTATTGATTTCCATAACTTTTTTTTTATTTGACTTATTATAGAATTTATTAGGATAATCAATTTTGACATCTTTTTTCTTCCAAGTGGAGATTGGGTCATTAAGCCTCCATCCGGACTACACGTCGCCTAATCGTCCCCGCGGCTACTCAAGGTGGTGGGTAGCACCAACTCTAACCTATAATAACCCTGACACAGTAAAATCACAACTACAAATCCGATTAAACAAATAGATTTTTGAAAAAACATATCAATGATGTTTTAATATAATCATCTATTTGAAATCTGGAAATATCAATTATAATAGTATTGGCTGTAGAGTTACGATTATTCAAAGTCAAGGATTGTTAAAATAATGAGATTGAACAACTTCAGGATTTTTTTTATTTTACTCAGCTAATTCATAATGCTGTAACAGCTAGAAATGTAAGACTTTGTGATAACAACTTGACTGTGGATAACTACAAATCAACCATGTAATTAGAAGGCTAGCTGAAGCTATGAGCTGCGCTTAAATGTATCATGATATATTGTACAGTTGATTAAATATTGAGTTATGAAGCTGACTGAATTATGTCGGAGTTAGTGCTTTCGAACACCTAGGGTAGTCGGCAGAATTTTTCAAATATCTGGTCTCACCCTTCCCTAAGAAAATGGCCTCACATTATGATAGAGTATGTTCTTTATGATGTTTCAATTCTAACCATTACTCTGCAGAGCTCTCATAAGCAGCGAAACATGATATGACTTGTTCTTGGAATGGATATTACAGCGTAGGTATCCCTCATTTCCGAATTTTCTTCTGTCAATGCAGCCGCAAGCATTCTCAGCCTCCTTCGCTTGAACAGCCGCACGGTACCTTCGCTTCTTCATTTGTCTTTGTTTCCTTCCTGATTTCGGCAACCAAGGGGCAAGGTTCCATCAGAACCAAGGATGTCGCAATAGAGAACGCGGCTATTTAGCTTCTTTTTCGGGGAACTTTGAGAGTCGATCAAACCCGTTGCGCTCATGTCCAACTTATCAGGTTTGATTCTCGTACCTCCATCAGAATCTTTTCGTTCCTTACTGTCATTTCGCAATGGGAGTTGGGGCTGGAATGCAATATCATTGAAAGCGGCTCCCGACTCTATCTGGATATGAGGAGAATAAGACTTGGGAGAACCTACGATGATATCCTTATCTGGCTGTCAAAATAGAGCGCTCGGAAACGAAAACGACGGAGATAGTCTAACACGTACCTGCTGCATCATATGTCCTTTGGTTAATCCAGTTTGCTCTCTAGCCTGATAAAGGGCTGGCTGTACTAACCCATCAGAACCTGTACTCGAGAGTGTGGTCAATCTAGATGACTGACATGAAGTGGATGTCTGTGTTAGTATGAATTGGGATTCAACGATTTGACACTAAGTGGCAAAGAATAACCAAGAAGCGGTGCTAGTCCAAGGATGGGGTGTAGAGTTGGCTTTCAAGGCATTGGGACCATGGCTCGAGGTATCTGTTTGCAATGCATTATCTCCTCCAATCCATGATTAAGATGCTCTAAATGGTATATCATATCCTCAGTATGTTCAAACTAAAGACAGAAGAGATTATCAAAACTATGATTCACTGTCGACGGTTCTTAGCCCACTTCAACACCCGCCGAAAAAGTAGAATGTCAAAAAATGTGAAATGAAGATGGTCGTCGCGTAAGCCGCCGCGAGGCGAGACCCCAAAAAAATCAAGTCCCACAAAACTTAAAAAAGAAAGTCTAAAAAAGAGCACTTGGAACAATCTGCGACAGCTATCATCTCTGATACTAACAAGCTCACCAGGATTAACGGGGTCAACCATCACACCACCCACCGTGGTTCTTGTTGTACATACTTGCCTAGTTGAGGTACTGATCGTGTGCTTATTGGAGGAGTGAATGGCCATATCCCTAATCTTCAAAAGTCTGGAAATAAAGTCTCGTAAGCTGCACCTTCATATATATTTGCAGGTCGTTTCTCCTCCAGGTCATTTCTCCACCCGTCAAAAAGTGAAATATGATGAAAAGAGCGCAAAGTCCAAAAACCTGTCGTCGCGCACGTTGTCGTCAAGTGAAGCTACAAGAAATCCACAACACAAAATGAGACCCACAAAAAGTAAAATAAAGACATCAAAAAAATCCGTGGAATGTCTCATGACAGCTATTATCTCTGATTCTAACAAGCGCATTCCGTAGGCCGCTCACTTATGACAGCTATTATCTCTGATTCTAACAAGGTTTTGCTTCTCGGAGCGATGGCATCAACCATCGAACCACCCACCGTGGATTTTTGTTGAAGATATTTGCCCACTTGGAATACTTATGGTAGATTTGCTAGCCGAGTGAATACTGGTACTCATATAATTTGGCGAGCTGCGCATAACGTCATGTGAGCTTTTTGTGTGGGATTCAGTCATTACACCTTGTTTCTTTCTATTATGCGCATTTCATAAAAGACCTGTAATTATTGAGCGATGGAAAGAGAATCATATAGTGTTTCGAATCTCCCATAGTTTAAGTTCATGCGGCTCATCTTGTCTTTTCCCTGTTATCAACCCTATCTACCCACTCTATCAGCATACCTAACCATGCGTTGGTGTGTTGTGTCATCAATAGGAACCATTAGACCCCTTATAGTGCATCAAATGCTCTTAATATACATTCATTTGGACAATCTGGACATATTCGTAGTTGACTTCAATCTCTGGCTCTTTGTGAAAGGCGCCGAACTCTTTTTTGAACGACAATGAGAGAAGAATTGCGCAAGGAGGCAGGAGTATATGAAGTGGAATCACGCTGAATGCTCTGTTCTACGGAAAATAATATCCACATCTGATAGATAACGAGTCATCACGCAAATCAGTGCCACTCTGATCCTTACCTTCGCCTTCACCCCCATCAAGGCTAAACTCGAAGATCTGCCTACATATACTTTCAGAATTCTAACCCACAATTATCTTTTCAATACCTTCCTGAATTTTGAATATGAAGGAAAATGTGAATTTTCATGCTCTGAATAAATGTCTTACACCCAAATCTACGAACAGTTTCCCTGGGAATGATTTAGTAACTATTTGGAGATCGATCGGTTTATAAGTGAGAGGTAGATATACACGTTTAGGGAGAAGTGAGGAATCAGGAATGAGGAACGCGGGACAAATTCAGTGGTTGCAGTTATGGAATTATGATGGAAGTTTACTGGGTTTGTATTCACTTCTGATATACATAGCTAGGTACTTTATCATAAAATCGTTGGTTCATGCGAGGCTATTAGATGATTTTGACTCTATCTCTCATTGCGTAAATACTTACTTTTGTAAAGTGGCTCAGAACATCAGTGGAACTTTGAGGAAAGAGAGGTTTTAGCTTGAACTGGTGCTTGGCATGGGGATTTGTGTATGATTTTATGGCTATATAGAATTGGATCACCGATGGGAGATGGAAGAGCTTAGAGTTCTGGTTGTGTCGTTCACCCGAAGTGTGGGACTTGTGAAGACTGGTTGATATTTGAAGCACGATGGAAGTTCAGATTGTGGAGTATACTGATGTGTAGGAAACACGAGGGGTTCAGTGTACTCTTAATCCCTGACATTATTCATCACTTCATATGGACCTAACATATCTAAGTCTTTAACAGACACCCTCCCCCCAAGAAATTTCTCAAAACCTTTCAATCAGCCCCTTTCCGAACAAAAATATCCCTATTAACATTATCAAATCATAAATCTCCTCGAAATCAGGCATTAGGGTCCACAATCACATCACCCGGCCAAATAGGATAAACATCATTAAGTTTCCCTTGTACCGCACCATCCTGATAGATATTGATCGTCGCACTCCTAAACCCTGCCTTCCCATCCTCATCCACAAATGCGCAAAGCGTGAAATTTGACGTGGCACTCGTGACGCGACAAACCTCAACCTCCGCATACGTGATAGGATTTTGTGCTATGACGTAATAGTCGGTGATATAGTTGGGCGATTGAGATAAGATGTAGAATCCTTCGTATGTGCTTGGTGTATTGAAAAGAAGGAAATAACTTGAGGAGACTAAGCCAGTAGATGGGTTTCCATCGACGTACGAGGATGCAGCGTCCTGGACAAAAGGCTTGGTGGCGGAGATGGTGGGCCAGGTGTTGAGGGTTATACCTGGAGCTGTGGGTGTAGGAAAAACGGTTGAAGTTGGTGTTGGGATTGCAGTTCTGGTTTGGGTTGGAGACGGTTGAGCAGATTGTCCGGAGGGGTATACAATGGTATCACCTGAGTAGATGGGATATATCTCATTGACAAATGCAGTACTGTTTCCGCCAGATACTCCAGTGACATAAAAAAACATCGTGTCTGTGGAGATTCCAGCTGCGCCAGCAGAGTTGTAAAAATTGACAACGGTAAAGTTAGAGGTAGCGCCTGAAACCTTTCCAACAATAATATCTTTGCCCGTCGTTGGCTCATAAGCTTCAACATAGTAGTCGGTAATGTAATCACCGGAGGACTGAACGTAAAAACCGATATAGCTGGCTACGAAGTTGAATAGGAGAGGAAGACGTTCTGGCAAAGAGTCAATTGCATCGGCAGTAGTTACATTTCCATCTACCGCGTAACTGCAGCATCCTTCTCCGTAGACGGTTTGTCTCCAGGCATTGAGGGTCTGCCCGAGAGCGGGTGATGTGAGGAGTAAAATTGAAGCTGCAGAGAACAACATATTGTATGTAATTCAATTATGAATGAGTAACTGATGTGAACGAAGGAAGATAAAACTACAGATGATATTTGCAATGGGTTCATCTCCTTAAATACTTGAAGAAATTCTAGGCAGCCTTGCTGCCCCTGCGCGATTAACAGCAATGCAACCGAAATACCCATGACAGCGAAATTCGTGCATGAAAATTGGCTCTATAGAGTGGGAGGAGTAATAAGACGCAGCAAGATTTTCCAGCCCACCAGTGGGTGCATAGATTGATGGAACACTTTCCAATTTTCAATATTTTTCATAAATTTATTCTTCGATTGTTTGATATTAGAATTCACATTTTGATTGTTTCATCTCTATTCAAGAATTTTAACAATTCCTAAAATAAACGATTCAATATATCAAAAGATATTCACAAGTTGATTTTTGTATTGTCCTGTGAGTCCGTACCGTACACCCACTGGTGGCCCCGCTCCTTACCGAGTACCAGATACGAGGTAGGTTAAGGCACAATTATGATTGTAGATATAAATCTTCTTCAACGGAGAAACGCAGACATCCCATTAGCTGAGAATAAACACCGTAGGGGGTCGGCGGAGTGACCCGAAGTTTCGTGGTGCCAACCATGTAGACATGGAGTATTGAACACTGACCGGATGTGCACTAAAGGTAAAATGATCGAGGGGGGCTTGATGGTAAATTGACCTATCGTAAGGAGTAAATATCAATTAAAAGTACAGGATTCAGCAGAAAAACAGCAGAAAAGTTGAAAAAATCTGCAAGGCACGAAATAAAAGAGGCACAGATCATGCAGGTTCACGGCGGGGCTGACAAAGCAGGACGACTCCACCAATCACGGGAGCCCATTATTCGGAGCTATATCCATTGTCAGAACGACCAGCCATTCTCGCACTGCTTGCCATCTTGAGGAGTATCTCATACAAGAGATCTTACTGGAGATTAGGTTGCATATGGGTTGAATGCTACGTGAATTTATGGTTGCTCTCACTGCCCGGTTGTCTCCATGATTACCCGAAGCTATCGATAAAAATGGTGGGTCGAGCAATAGCGACGAAGCAGGGCTGATATGAAAGTGGGTTTACTCTAAAGCTGTCAGTCGCTTTTCCTCTTAAGACCAACACTTCATTTGAGAGTTCGCCTTTATTCAGGATACTTGAGGTAACATAAACTTTGGTCACTTTTATGCTAATATCTGTGATCAAGGAAGCATTAGTTCAAACCCTACAGCTGCTTTTCAATGCGTCATCAAAACCAGACACCCGGATACTTCTTAAGAATACATGAGGCTTTGCAGTCCTTTCATTGCTTTAATTGAGATTGAGTATTCTAAATCCACTTATCCATATATCAAAGACGAACCACATTAAATCCTTCCAGCAATCTTTGGTATCTTTAATCCTTTTTATGCCCCAACGCCCAACGAAATATAGAGCTCCCCACAATGTCCTATGTCTTTTGAGTCTTTCGCATGCCCCAAATTAAACCGAACGCAACATGCAGCTCTGAGCCCCCAAATGTCTTGACCAAGCCGTAGACCTAACGAGCCTTTTTACGCCAGCTGCTGAATACTGACTTATAATACAAGAAATCCGAAGAACCAAGCCCCAAGCTTGACATCATAATGTCACCGTAGTCAAATCAATGATATAACCCAACAGTATTCAGAAACTCAGTCATCTCGACTGCGCCAACCGGTAGTACCGACCATATCATTACATGGTTAATTCGTGACGTAGTCGCTCTGTCGAGTAACGCTCTCGGGGGACAATTTCTTTCTTTCAGGCTCTATGTGTGGTATTAATGCAGGTCTCGGATGCGTCTTCTCTCTGATTAACTTCTCCTTCTGAGCCTGATACTGGTTTCTTAAAGCGGTGGTTGCATTGTTTTTAGCCCCAAAAAAGGCAGCAAGCATACAGAGTTCGTCGAGCTCGTCATTGGAGGATATGCGCTCACTGAAGTCGTTCCTTCTTAAAAACATAATCCACGATTTAGTGTCCCTCCACAATTTCTCTTTTGGCCAGCTATCGATTTGTTCTAACTCGCTCAAGGAATGATAATGCTGTGCGGTACGCCCATACGATGAAGCAATTAGATCAGCAATATATACGAGTTTGGTTTGACGAATGCATCTCTTTCGATTCGATGTGTACGCAGGGTCGTACAAGCAAGTATCATCAGGGTCGGCGAATTTGCCGATATCCTTCGCACCGAATGCTGAGCGTATGAAAGGACAAGCCCTAAGTAAGACATCTTCCGGAATTCCGATGTGATCTGGAAAATTATCCTGCATGAGATATGGCCGATCATCTGTCTCATGGCTCTCCATAAAGAAGACATCCCTCTCTTTTAACGGCAGTTGAGCCGGTACGTTACTGCTGCTATAGTCAAGTGTCAGTTCTTTCCAGTAGATCTTTGTGTTATCCTTCAAAACCACAAGCTATATTAAACTCACCCTGGGATAAATTCAATGCGCATAGCTTTCTCTTTTTCTGGATCTCGAAGACTGTGGCAAAAGTCCATTCCCTCTCCCAGAAGCGCATTCTCGTTGAAAAGCTCAACAACAGCAGTTGTGAGTTTCGTACATCCAGTTTCCTTTGGATGAGGTCTTTCGCCTGGCTCAGAATCGTCTTTCGAGGCCAATTCTCTAAGTACAGGTACTATATCGTTCCGCATGAGAACCCACGTAGTGTTTGCTGAACGATCCCGTCACAAGGAACTATTCCAGTTTCGACAATTCTCTGCATCTGTGGTAGGAACATTACACAGACGTTATAGATATCTCCATCATCGGGCTTGGGGATTGCTCGTGGTGGTAATGGTGGAGGTGAGAAATTTCTCGTTCTTTGTGCCTTCTTTTTGCCAGTTTTCCCCCTCCGCGCATCCTTTGTTTCCTGAACTTTTATGTCCTTGTCTTTTGCGTCCGTGTTCTTTCCCGCCATTTTTATGTAGATATTGTTGATTGAGAACTCGAATGATACCTTGGCGCGTGTTCCGTAATTAGTGAAATGCAAAGAACCGGTGTTAAAATCGAGATCTAGAAAGTTTTGTTTGGATCCAGGATTTTACATGCTAAAAAGCAAGCGAGAATCCACTGGACCCCCCTATCTCGTCTGATCTTTTCAAACATAGAAATTCACTTCGACTTCTTAAATTGGTCACGACGCGTAAAGACGTGTTTAGGATACCTTCTCTATGTACTCAATATCCTCAAATTGATTGAAAGAATAGGTTGGCTCAACTCAACGATAAGCTAGGAACCCAAAAATCAGATCTTGGAGTCTTTGATAGAATTTACCCTGGTGAAAAAGGAGATTGGACCAGAAAGACATGGAGCTGGAGGTATTTAAATGGAAATCGTTCTTATATTTCAATCTAGATTTAATATTATTCTGAAGACTCGTTTGCTAGCCTACTACATCGACTCTCCGCATGTAATTATGGTATGAAATGGATGGATTTATGATCTAGGAGGGCTAATACAATATGGTTGAAGATAAAAGAGACAGATATGGGATGGTTTGTGTAAAAGATATCGAAGAGACAGCGCGAACATACTATTTTAGAATATTCAAGGCCACAATTGATCTCTATATTGATCTTGGCTGGTTGTTTCATACACTCTTGTCAATAGTAGCATGTGAAGTATTAGATATGGTGCTAAAACAAAACGGATTATGAGCGCTCTACATTTCAGATCTATTGAAGAAGAAGACTTCCGTGTACGAAGGGGCGAGGGTATGACGCTAACTAGGTAGCAGCATATTCACACATTGTCTAAATTGACTCATATAAGAAAAGGTCTTATTACTGCAAGGTATCCATGGCGGAATACTTTGGCCAATTTATTATGACTACACCCCACAATATGAATCCCTTATATTCTGCTATTTTCTTAGAAACAAGCTGAATATCACATCAAAGCCATTGTATTCTAGGCATTATGCAGCAGTGAGGTATATACAGTCTGCTGTATTCCAGGTCAGTGACACACAAGATGCTCTCTCCAATTTTCTCACTATTTCCTTTCATCGATTTTGTGACTTCAAAATACATTTTGGTACAGTTTCCCTCCTATCTCTAACTCAAGATTATAGATTCTTAGCCTTCTTTACATTTTGATTTAAGATTCCTATTATCAAATCCACTACCTCAAAGGTTACAGAAATTATGACAAAAAGGCGATAGAGTTGGACTGATGTAAGGAGGGGATCATTCTAGATGTCAAAAAGGCTTTGGGAGGCTTTGAAAGGGCCAACCAACTCAGAAAGAGTCTCAACACTGACTTTGGGTTCATGTAGACTCGATTTTGCTGCTGGCAGGGAGTGCATCGAGAAGCAGTTAGGAAGGTGCATAATAAAGCGCGAAGCAGTTTTGAGCTCGAATTCTACCTTTGCATACACATACATTCCACAAAATCATTCTCTTTCTCGCTACTTAATGCTTCCTCCAAGGCATTCAACATCATCAAAATCCGATCAATAGAAGAGGAGACCGATTTGCAGACCAAGGCTAAGCACTTGTGCGCTACCCATGCGTTGATCCTGTAGGGGTGACTATTTACCCTTTCGAACTTATGTATACTGGTTGTACAGTACATGGCCATCCTATGTAGTCATCGAGGTTGGAGATGTTTGATTTATAAGCCACGCTAGCCCATAAAGATTACGGAGCAATTCTGCAAAGCAAAATATTGTCATGATTAATTCAAGACACATAAATCTCCACTTCGTTTCGACGCATATTTATTCTGACCACCAGCACTTTAGCATTCCAAGTGAACGTACATACCGCCGGGCTTTCTGACATGTCATAATCCGTATCCCGAAACACGAATGCGTATAAATCATGAAAGGCTGTGGAAAGTAATCATCATCTCCCTCCTGAATCCTATCTCTCAGAATCTCAAATGGGTGATGCGGGTAAGTTCGGATAAGCTCGAGAGTGGGTGTTTCTTTATATCTGTATACTTATAGACGTAATGCCCTCCATCCGTCCATCTATCACTCCCTCACCCTCATATCCATACCCATATCCTCTCCGTCCCCATCTCACCCATCTCACCCAGCCCCATACCCTTTCCATCCATCCATCTCCAGACTCATTGCATCCAGAATCCAATATAGTACCCAATTGCCACATAAACACAATACAATAACATAATTTTACATCTTTCCCGAAGACTAAGAACACCTACGATGGCGTATAGGCTCCTCATCATCGCCTCACTCTCCTTCTTTCCAAGTTCCCTCCTTCCCTCCTCCCTCCTTTCCCTCCCTTCCTCCTTCCCTTCCTTCCCTCCTTCCCGCCTGCCCTCCTTCCCTCCTTCCCTCCTTCCTCTCCGTCCCTCCTTCCCTCCTCCCTCTCCTTCCCTCCTTCCCTCCTTCCCTCCTCCCTCCTTCCCTCCTTCCCTCCTCCCCTTCCAATCCCCCACAAGTAAAGCAAACATTCCACCAGACCCGCATACCATCCATATCCCATATCCCATATCCCATATCCCAATTCTCATTTTCTTTAGCCCCAGCTTCGAACTTATTTCTCTCCCCCTCCCTCCTCCCCTTATCTCTATTTCTTTTCCCATTTTTCAATCTCTCACACACACAGACTTTCTCATTCCATTCTCACTTCCATTCCCATTCCAGACCACAAGCGCAACAACCAGAGAAAAGACAAAGAAGCAAAGGAAACTAACACATATGCATAGGTACATATAAGATTAAATTCAAAACAAATGATAGAGATCATATTTAATTCATTAATCATGAACCCATAATCAACTAGATACCCTCTCCCCTTCATACTAAACGAAACTCAAGTTTTCCCAGCCATTAACTTTTGGTATCGATCGTTCTGTGCTATACATGCCGATTCGTATACTGCCATATCATATCATATCCTCTCAATTCATTACATTGCACATTAATCCACTTTTTGATTTGCGACTTCATTTCTTTCAGCCAATCCCTTTCACCATCATAGCTGTCAAACACCCCTCTTACAACAAATACCTATAATCAGGGCTCAAATCTCCCAACTCCGTCTTCTCAGACTCCGTGAGACCCAGATCCCTGGGTCTCCTATCCCTCTGGCGATTTTCAAACATGACTGCTATGAAATAAAGCAAACACGACATCGCGCTCAAACACAAAAAGCCCAGACAGATTCCATATCCCGTTCTGTACTCCGGAGCATCTTTCGCTAGGAAAGCATAGGTAGCGATGATTCCTCCTATGTTACCGAATCCGACTTGCCAGGCCGTGCCCACGCTGCGACGGTGATGACCGCCGAGATTCATGTTGAACCAACAGACTATAACTGGCATGGCCGAGTATGCACCCATGGCGACGAGGAACAGCGCTGCGTATTGAAGTTTTGTATTATCGTGAACGGTGAGAAGGATAGCGAAACCGGTGATTGCGACGCAAATCGGCGCGATGGTGAATGCGAATCGATGACGTGTGAAATCCGATGCGAAAGCAATGCACATTGCGAATGCGAATGCGCACGCCCATGGAGGAACACTGTGGAGTTGTGTTTGGATTGGGGAGTAGCCGTAGGTGGAGATGATACCTGGGGCGAAAAATGCGTATCCGTAGGCTGGGATGATCATACCAAAATACATGAAGCCTCCGAGAATGACTTTGTAGTCTTTGAAGACCCTGCATGCATCTTTGAAAGTGATTTTACGCTCTGCTGCGCTTCTTCCTTGGTCTACTTGGAGACGGGCTTTTACGTATGCTCTTTCATCTGGAGTGAGCCATTTTGCATCTTCTGGGAATGAAGGAATGAGGAAGAAGAATGATAGAGCGACAACACAGGTAAGGACTCCTTCAATGATGAAAATCCAACGCCAGCCAGAATATCCTCTCAGTCCATCCATTTTCCCAATACCAGAAGCGAGAAGACCACCGAATGCTCCAGCCAATGTGGTACTACTGAAGAAGAAGGAGTAGCGACGTTGAGCTTCAGATCGTTTATACCACATACCGATGAGGTAGAAACAACCTGGAAACATACCGGCCTCGAATAGACCGAGGAAGAAGCGGGTTGCGAGGAGACCTGAGAAATTTTGTACTAGCCCTTGACAAATACTTACGAGACCAAACAAGAACATGAGAGACGAAAGCCAAATGTTTGGATTCAGACGTTTCATGAGGATATTGGATGGAATTTCGAAGAAGACATATGGTACGAAGAAGATGGTCAAGGCGGTGTTATATTGCGTGCCGGTTAATTTCAAATCTGTTGAGAGTTTGAAAGATTTGGCATTGGCAATATTGACTCTGTCCAAAAAGGCCAAAAGATACAAGATACATCTACTACAGTTAGAATGGAAATTCGAGATACATAGTAAAGTTTACTTACAAAAATGGGATCACCCGTAAATCGATTTTTCGCATAAGTTTTGCCTCCGTTGTATGCGGGGGACAAACCACGTGCAATTCATCGAATTCCGATTGACCCTCCGCCGATGGAATATCTGGTACATAGCTATTGTTTCCCTTATAGGCGGCTTCTTGATCCTCCGATAATGAGGGTTGAGGGGAAGATCCCGTTTCTTCTGGATCGAGTTAGACTCACCTCGGAAAACGTAAAATTCTGGGGTTGGGCTGAGCTGAGCTGAGATATGGTATTGTATCCTCGGTAGATCACTTGATCTATCAGATATCCAGACAAATTTTCTGCCATCGAGTCTGTTTTCTATACTGGAGCTCCGAAAGCTATTGTGATAGAATAACAATGGTGACGATATAAATTATTAGCAAAGAACAAGTTGGCACTTACTATTTTTTGATCCGAATAAACCCATTTTGATACTCCTTTTCCTTGGCTACCGCCGAAAGGCCAAACTCGATTAACAGGACACCTTTATATTACCCCAGAAGGCAAAATGCACGGGTGAGTAAGAGTGTAATAAAAGAAGCACGAGAGAACAATCGAAAAGAAATATCAAAAGAGATATTGAGCTGCTTTTCAATCAACCAAAACCAAAGCTTACCGTGCGTGCATACTCCGGACTGAGAATACTTTATTTAACTAGTGATTGATCGGACACCTACTGCAGAAGTGGACAAGGGATGAGGTTGTTTATCCCCGCAATTAAATTCGGAGGTTCATCGAATTAATTGAAGCCGAGGAAGGGAAGAGTCATCTTTCTTTTGATTAGTGAGGATATTCTTGAGATTTGCCGTGTTGCCATTCACTGTTCTACTACATCCAACATCCATACGCCCATACCATATGACTCGGGTAATGGGTAACGAGTGATAAGTGTCGTTTTGTAGCTTGTATAACTACCTGGGATGCCTTTCGCTTTTGCTTTTGTACATGTACATCAACATTTTCAATGTCTTTGATAAGCTCTCAGTAGCAGAAACCAGGGGAAACTCTCCATTGAAGCAAGAATTGAGGTTGCTGTAACTTTGGCTTCATGCCCACGTTTCCCACCCAAGAATCATCGAAAATCTTCACCGAACATTGTGTAATACAAAAGGAGGATAGGTATCTAACATGGGGATCTTCCTTCGAAGTTGGAGATCCATAGTCCAAGGAATTCCTACTGGGTATCTTGACGTTGTGACTCTTGAAAACAGTGGATTGGGTGGAGAATTCCAAGATTTAAAGTGTTTGCGGGGGAGCTTAGCATTGTTCCCCCAAACCGGTATCGGAGAAGTTCTTCATTTATTCTACGAAGGACAGGCTTTTCTGCTGGTTTGTATTACGCAGCAAGGTGTGGAATGAGTCTGGATCTTGGAGTCATCCATTTTTGGATGGGTGTGAGGGCGAGGGTGACTCGTGAGGCACCGCGAGGGAGTGGGAGTGGGATGAGGAATTGAAATTGAAATTGGTCTGAAGAGATATGGATCGGAGAGTTTTCTACGGGTGGAAAATTGTAGTATATCCGAAATGTTGCTGTTGAGTACGAGAGCATTACCTATGTAAGTGAGTAAATATATCCCTCTTCCATTATATCAAGCATCTCTTCACATCTATCTAGCCTTGTGCCCAGATTGGTGAGACTCCTACTTAGGTAATTAATTGTTGGAGAAACCTTGTCTACACCGTAGAAGAAAGTTCAAGAAGTGTTCGATGCTGCTTTTGATTTGAATCTCATGCATGTAACTCGGGGAGTAGCATGCACTATTGGAAAAGAGTCATCATAACGATACAATATTGTGGATTCAAGAAAATGAAAATCATTGAAGCAGCTCCAGTTTTGATAAAGAAAGAGTTGACTTTAAATGGACCACCTCGACCACCTATGTATAGTGGTTATATGGATAAGTGATGTAAAACCCACTTTTATTAAAAACTTAACTGTTTTTATATATTCTATTATTACTTGAAATAATTCAAACATATATTGAACTATTTCCCTTAAATTTCGACTTTGAATTTTTTATTTATTTATAAAGATTTACAAAACTTTCAAAGATCTTAAAGGTTTTAATAAACTATTTAATAGAATTATTAAGGAATAAACTCATTTTAATATATTAGTATATTGAAATCCATATTTACAATACTTTTTTTAGCTTTAGTTCACTATAACAATTTTCAAAGAGCATAATGTTTTAATTGATTAAAGCCTCTATATATAGGGAAGAGCTCGACCACTTTTTACCGTGTTTTACAATACTCACCCTTCCAACCTTCGTAAACACGGAATACTCGGATATCCCGTGCCCGTATCATAATCACAAGCCTCATTCACAAGGCTACCTATGGATCTATCTATCTATCAATGCTGGACCAGACAAGGTACCTCTTCTTCTTCTTCTTCTTCTTCTTTCGTAGCCAACCAGTCTTTTGAACAGGTGACCTATGAAAAAGTCTGGAGAGGGAAGTTGGGAAGGTTGAACGCGCGAACAAACGCGTCTTGGATTGAAAATTTTCAAGTCTTCTTTTTTGTTGAGTTTATGTATATCGACAACAACATATCAGAGCATGATATTCTACATCTTCATCTTCTCATCTGGAGAGATAATTAAACGTTTTTGCTTTTGCCTAAGTATTCCATCTTTCTCTTCATTCCATAAACCTTCTTTTTCCAACTCAACTGGTACTTAGCTTGAGATCTAGGTAGTAGCACTCCGTCATATTCTTGGTTATGATATTTCCCCAAAAGCCGATGTGTTATTCAGTATATTGGGTAGGATACCCAGGTGGGTCGGCCGGTAGGTATTGACGTGTTGAATGAAGGTATCTATGCAAGTATCTACGCAAGTATCTTCTTGTATATGGGTCATGAATTCATAGCATACTTGTTGTAAGTACAGTTGTACATCACGAGGAGATATACCTGTCAGGTATCAGAAAGACTTTATGAAATAATTGTTTCCAGGTCACAACCATCAATAGGATGTTTGAGTAATCAATCAAGGAAGCAAGCAAGCAAGCAGGCAAGCAGGCAAGCAAACAACAGAACGAACGACCCTCCAACTTTAGTAAGTCTTACATCTTATCAATAACCTCCTTTTTCTCGACTAAATTGTGGTGGGTGGCTTTAAAAACCTTGATATGAGTCGTTTTGCCTCGTACTCTGACTTGATTCACTAATAATACTTGTAGTGTTGACCACGAGGAACCATCCCATTCCATATTCTCCTATCAGGTGATTCTTGGACAAATTTACCCCTTCATCTTCATCAATATCGTCTATTAGATATTGTTTCCATTCACTTGTGGACAGAAAGGTATGTGGTATTTGTTTGGATTTATATCTTCACTCATTCTACTCCTGCAGAGTGAGTACCCAACTTATGAAGCTTTTGATTCTGGGAGTCCTTCTCCGGCTTAAACCTTGAAACCTTGGTACGAAACAATACAATACGACATAACGCAATACAGCACAGCACAACACAACATCAAAATCATAATCATAATCATAATCCTAATCAATTTTTATGGTATACACATACACATACACATACACATACACATACACATACACACATACATCCATCTTCAATCCTCTAACCGCCTGTTGTGGAAACTAACCGCCCACCTCATGTTATAGTATACTACTATCTCTACCGTACACCACCAAGAAAGGGCGAACCAATCTACTATTATTAGTCAAAGGGTAGCCTTTTCCTCGATTGATTAAAACCTTGTTAAACAACTTAAAGCAAAGACAGCAAAGACGATTTCACGACTCATTTGAAAACAGGAAATCGAAGCTTTTCTCTGCCCTCTTTCTCTTTCAACTCGATATTCGATCCGAATCCATAAATTAATCTTTCTTGCGATTACAATTATTTGCTTTCGGTTTACCCTTCCAGCGACATTAATTACAGCAGTAAGGACACTCGGAAAACATAGGGTTGAGCATCGATGAGCTTGCCTTGCCTTGCCTGTACAGTCTATCAGTCTATCAGTCTATCAGTCTATCAGTCTATCAGTCTATCAGTCTATCAGTCTATCAATCCACCAGTCCACCAGTCCGCCACTCAGTCAGTCAGTCAATCCATCAGTCAGTTGAATAATTGTAAAGAGTGGTGGCACCGAGGCTGAGGATCGGAGGATCGGTCAAGAAAGGAAAGGGAGAAAAAGGTTTCGGGCTAAAATCACTGGGCAGTCAAAAATTGAACAACCACGACCACAACCAATTTTAGCTCCAGACTTTCGATACGGTGGTCCTTAAGAATCTCATCTCACAATTCCCCCAATTCCATTTCCTCCCACATCTTCAAAGAATTCGAGAAATCGTACAACAACATCATCCACCATCCACCACGACAACCACACATCGGCGGAAAGAAAAGGCTTTCTTTTCAAATAATTATACCTGTCGCCATCAAATCTCATTTGATTTCTAGTAAATATATTCAGCCTTCAGCAAAAATTATTGTACGGATCCGGGAAATCTTTGGATGAACATTACACATTGACACTGATTACGGGTGGGGAAAAAGCGATTCGACATTCTCAACACCGTCGATTGAATTTCACCCATACCTCATTCATAACCCATCTGTTGAGACGAGGTAGACACCCAATCATAACATGAGTGTTCCTCCTATATCATCTCTCGCATCGAGCGATACGGATATCGATCTCGAAGCTGCATTCAGAGAGTCGCTCAGTATCGCTCGAGACGTCGTCAAGGGAGTGTTATTAAAGTCTCTTCGTGTTTCATTCGAAGGTCACAATATTAGTTTCCCAGCTCAGCAAATACTTTCTGGTGATGAGACATATAATACCCTTCTTACCATGCGAGATCTAGAATCACCCACAGGCATGACGATAGACAATAATGTTATTCAGCTTCCATATTCTGGAAATATCATTAGTTCAACTTCTCAACCGTCTGCAATGAGTGGTCAAATGAATCAAATGGCTTTCTCACCCTTGACTACGAGCAATGTTAACTCTCACATACGTCCTGGAAATTCAATACAACAGCAACCATTCAATAATTCCAGTTATCGACCACAATCTTCCTTTAATGCCACTCAAAGTCAAACCGAACTTCCACAACTCTCCAATGTATTACGAGCAGTGAACACAAACAACTACACTCAACAACAAGCTTACCCCTCCAGCAATAATTCGTATTCACTCTCTTCGAATCAACCTTTACGTCCTCAACTTCAGCAACATAACCCTGCAACTAAATACCCCCAAAATATGGACGACCTTTTCTCCCGATCGGATTCAGTTCTTGCCTCGCAAATCCCCGCGAATCGAAGCAACTTTCAACAGCAGATGATTGCTCGATTACAAAAGGATTCTCGAACTTTCGCAAATCAATCCTATTCAAGCTATGGTGGACAAGGCCTAATTCTTAATCTAGAAAGAACGAGT